CTCTTAAACAAGACCAAGAAAATAATTCCTTTTTCCTTGGATATAATCTTTATTAGGTTATAAATACTTCATGAATTATTCAAGTTTCAAATTTACAATTTATTCATTTTTAATATCTTTTAGCACATATATTTTCAGAGTCTGCTTCTTTAAAATTTTATTGTATTTTCTCGCTATTAAAAAATACTTAAAAATCTAAAAGCCCTCAAATTTACTTAAAAATTTTTTTTGCAGTTATCAATCATCTGTCACCTTAATCTACTAGCTACCAATTACTAGGTAATTTAACTAAAAAAATAAATTAAATTGCTAGAGCCAAAAGAGTAATCAATTATTTAATACATAAATCTTACTCTTAAATTATTTAAATTTTTTAGAATATTATAAATATTAAAAAATCATCTCATCTCAATAATTTAAGTTGATGGGTAAAGTTTCAAGATATAATTTATTTTATTTTTTAATATAAAATTTTAAGATATAATTTATATTATTATCTAACACACCTCCCCTTAAGAAAAAACTCTTTAAATTTAAAATTGGTATAAATTTATATTATATTTAATTTAATTTTTATTAAATAAATAAAAATAATAAAATTTAAACTTATATCTATTTAATTATTAAAAATCTCATACCGACTTAGAAGATGGTGTCAGCTCGGCTTTGACTTGGGCATTGACAACACTCCCCCATGAAGCATTGGTTGGGTGCTTCACTACTGCTTTCTTCAAACTTCTACTTGCCACCTGCTGCGGCCATTTTCTTTAAATCCTTCTGCTGCTGCACTGTTTCAATCTTCACCTTCAATTCCCAGATCAAAACTTGGCCGACTCCTGCAGTGCCAGGATTGAACTGAGGCTGTGGGGATCCAAGAAGAGAACAAGAATCTGTGCTCGTAACTGGAAACGCTCTAGTTTCAAACCCAAGAATAACAAGCTTAAAATAACCAGGTATTTGAGAGCCTCTCTTTCTCTTACTTTCTAGTAAAAAATGCAAAAATAGTTGTCACTCTTGTGTACAAGTAAACAAATCCTGAAGAACCTGTTCAATGACATTAAACTCTTGCAAAGCACGGTAAGCTCTCCCAAAGAAACTTCTTGTAATTTATAAGATGAAAAATTGCGATATAATTGAGAAGTGATTCATTTAATTCATAACGTACCTTTCTTTTGGTTCCCTAGTTATTTTCCCTCTTGGATTTTAGTGTTCTTCTCGTGTCTCCCAAACTTCGCTTTTCCCTCCTGTTTAGCTTTCATACATGGGCACTGGAGGGGTCCGTGCACAACAGCAACCTTTATATTGTTTATCCAGGTGTTGAATCTACATGGTTGCTTTTATTACATGCGACGCCGTTAGTCTAATGTGTACACCACACACCGTCCAGAATCACAGTCGCGATAATTGCAGCAGGTTGTAGCATTCATCACATCTATGGCGATTTGAGATTGTCTACGAACTCTGAACGATAAATAGAATTCATTCTCAGGAAGATGTTTTTGTTTCTTTTTGTGAAATATACTCTGAAGATGTTTTTAATTACATTATATGCAACATAGGTCAGGAATTTCTATTCTGACTTGTGCAGGTTTGAAAGGATGTACAAAGAAGCAGACGATAAGAAAATACAAACAGAATAGCTTAGTAGATCTACACCAGTGGCTATCGTCACCATCTTGCTCCTCTCAAACATCTTTACTAAAAGAATCATGACAATAACATGTCCCACTTTTGTCTTCAGTTCATCGAGTGAGCTGATTTTCATCCATTTTGGCCTTTCCTATAAACCAAGAAAAAGCATTTAATTTTTGTTATGTAACTTAAAAAATTAGAAGAGCAAAGAAAAAGATTAATGAATTGTGGAGCTCGATGGATTCTCCTGCAGAAATAATACACCCAAGTGCTGATATATTGGCAAGAGAATAAGAGAATGTTTTGCAAGTTTATATATCAACCTTCAAGGCAAACATTCCAAACAAGGATGAGCCTTTCAGGGCACGATCAACACTAGCAGGAGCATCAGGAGGAACATTGCAGATGAATAATCCATATAAGCCCATGCCAAATATAAGCATCACAGTCCCAGCAAGATAAACATCTGCACAGAACGCATTACATTAGGATACAAGTTTAACTACAACAGAAATTCCAAGGCAAATGAATTATTTGGAGATGCCAGACAAGTGCTCATGTACGAAACAGCATAATATCATGTGTGATGACATGTACATTAAGAAAGCATGCACAGCATAGTGTTTTGTACTATCTTACCATTGCAGTTGTTATTGCTCTTAGTTTTATATGTAATTGAGTTCAGCAGACATAATTTCTGAACTCCTGTGATAACTAATAATTAAGTTAAAACAGTGGAAGCGGGAAGTTGGATGTAACATTGTAAACTGAAAACTATTTCGATACGGTGACATTCTGCTGAATGAGACAGAATTGAGATGCATAGAAGTAGTGAAGTTCACTTCTGTTTCTCATAACTGTCATCGAAATGTTATAGACTAAAAATTCCTTTATTCACAGTTTCATCGTAAGTAGCACAATGACTTTTTCGTGGTGGATAAAAATAGAGGTCTCGTGTGAGGAGTGACATTAAGGGATAATTCATGTAAAAGCTTCCAAAAAATCAGAACATCTCACCAATAGCTTCAACTAATCGTAGAACCATCTTTCCTGTATGAATTCCTTTGACACAGCTTGTCCAATAAACTCTGTAAGCATCAATAATGTAAACACAGCCCTGAAAAGATTATAAGTAGTGAGTGTTTGGGTGTAGTTTTAGGCTATCGTGAAGAACTATACTTCGCTCATAATCCATTATAAAACACTCTAAACTCCTCTGATTAAGATAGTAAACCTCCACTACACATTCTTCCAAATAATACAACTCTTATGCTTTAAGATTTCACAACATTTCAATGGATGAAGGGTAATAGAAATTACATTTAGAAAGCACAAGAGGGAACCAGCAAGTGAGCCTACTACAGCAAGAAGCGCCAAGAAGCGAAAGTCAAAAATTGCCTGTTTAATAATAATGGACATGAAAAAGAAGAGCACTGTTAGACTTGATTGTGTCTAAAGAAAGACGAAAAAAAATCTTGAGATATTGAAGAAATGAGGAGCTAATGAAGACCATCAAGACCAGAATTACAATTCCAAGTGCTTTGAGCAGTATTAGAATGTTAAATTTGCCTATAACTACATAGCATACAAGCAGAAATCCCTTCATTACTTATGACTTTTGAATCAATTTGGCCCAACAACTGCATAAATCACAGAAAAAGGCATTCAAGTAATATCTTTAAAAAAACTGAACTTTCCATGTCTAAGAACAAATGAAAAAGGATAAATTATGCAGTGAAAGAAAACAAATTCCAGCAAGACAAGCAAAAAAAAAAGATTGGATTTTGTTATTTTTACCCTCTCAATGTTTGACTCAGTGGAACGAAGGAACCGAACAACTCGGTTGGCAGATGGATTAGCAAGGGCGTAGTTGAAGCCTGAATCAGGAGGAGGTCTAGATGACTCAACCAAAGGCTTTGATGGGTGGTGGTTCTTAGAGGAAACTGGTGGTGGTGGCGGTGGTGGTGATTCAGGGGAAGGTGGTCTTAAAGTAGCCAAGGGACAGAAAAGTCGCCTCTTAAAGTTTAAAGGGCGGGGGATTTGGGCAGTTGATATAGAGAGTGGAGATGTGGAGATGGAAGCAAAAAGAGCCATTTATTGAAGAAAGCCACAGAGAGAGAGAGAGGCAGAGTTTACTGATCCTCGGCAGTGCAAGTGTTCGTTGGAAGCTCAGATTTTTTTTGTAAGTGAGTGGTCAAGTGGGTGTTGGATTTTTTTGAACAACTGTGAAGGATGTAGATTTGTAATTACATGCAAACAGTGGAGGACGCTGGACCGGACTGGACTCTAATTGTCAGCTCAGCACATCCGTTCATTTCACAATGGACTTTTCCGAATTTCTATTACAGAAGACAGGAACGAGTCTACACAGACAGGTTGCCTTTTTTTTTTTTTTTACTTTCAGTTTTTAATTTTAAACCAAAATACAGGGCACCCAAAGAAAAAAGAAAAATTGCTTTTAAACATTTTTGTTAAAGGGAAATTGCAGCTCAATGGGCCTTTTTAAAATAAAAAAATTAATAATAATAAGATCATATGTATGTATGTATTTTCTCTACAATACTGTGTGCTAGACTGCTAGTTATGACTCATATATCAATCTACCCCAAAATATTGTCACCTCACTTGGATTCGTGGCCTTGAAAGGAAACCTTTCCAATTTCTTCTTCTTTTTCCCCTTTCAAATCCTTATTTCCCTGCCTTCTCAGAAAAAGAGGATTCCCTTTTACCTTACAAAGTCCAAACGGGCCCTGGAAATAACCCTGTTGGCTTGATTTTTTATGTGCTTTTTCTAAGCATCCCGTCGGTTTTATCCCTCAACTTACTTCCATAGGCTGATTGCAATTGTGCCCAGCTATTCCAGGGCCATAATTTAGTTCAGTTGCTGCTAGCTTTTTCAACATTTTGAAATGGGAAATTGTTTCAGGACAGGAGGTAAGATGATTGGTTATTTGCAAAAAAAAAAAAAAACAATGGAGAGATTGCGTTTGCCGGGAGTCGAACACGGGCCTATTGCTTGGAAGGCAATTATACTAACCGTTGGACTACAAACGCTTGTTGCTTGCTGAGTATAAATATTATTAATCTAACACAACAAAGTTGCTTGCTGGGTATAAATATTATTAATCTAACACAACAAACCAGGCTGCTTATATAGAGGACCGACATGTAGCATATCACAAGTGGTCCCTGTGATGCGAATCATGAAATGCCGCGGCAGGAGCTTTTAGACGTGCTTGGAAGCTGGCTCTGCCGACAAATCTATCTAGCTAGCATCTTCAATCAGCTGCTGTCAAATAATTGAGCTACTGTATAGTTGCTAATGGTTACAGCACCGCAAACTTTTAGACCCCGCAAAAAAAGGAGTGGAAAGGAGGAAATCTAGCTTAATCTCCCATATATGAGACAGTCGACATGATATACAGTTACATTTCATCTCTAATGGTAAATGATCATGTCATTGAAAGAATATGAACAGTCATATGTCTCGTTCCTAGCAGATATTTGCTTAAATATTTAATACATGGAAAAAAAATGCACAAATCTTTCTGCCTTTGCTCTTTCAAATTTATCTTCACAGGTTCTACTTTTGAAAAATGGACTCTTCTATACAGCGTATGCCTTCAAAGGCTCCACTATTCTTTTATGTCTTAATTTTGATAGTGCAGTGCAAATAATCTGTCGAACCCTCTCCCTTGACAGCTTCACGAGTCTTCCTATTTCCTCACAGGACTGCGGCGTCTGTCCATTTAGCCCGAAGTGTAATCTCAGTATATGTGCTTCTCTTTCTGTAAGCACTGTCTGGAATAGTTTCTCCAACTCTTGCTTCAACAACTCTCTTTTAACCATGTTTTCAGGTATTGTTTCATCCGGCCCTGGAATGATCTCCTGCCACATAAGTCAATTGAATTTAAGATTAGTTTATTGTATAAAACAGATTCTTATTGTCTCCTGTGACTGCAGATCCCAGACTGAAGTGAGTTTTTAGCAAACCTATCAGGATTCTAGGCATGTTTCCTAGAATAAGGAATCATCTCAAATCAAGCATGCTCTGCATGGAATGCATTTGACATTTTTCAGTAGTAATATCGTTTATGGGTTGAGCCATGTTCAAGATTTGTTTGAAGCCAACACTTGCCCTGACTTCACAAAAGGATCGGTCTCGTAAATTCAAGAGCCTCATAAAATTTGTCATGTCCCTTTTCATTTTTGCAGGTAGCCTTTAAATGGGGGAGGTGTTCCCTCATATTTCAGTACAAAATCCAACTGCTTATCTGCCTAGTAATTCAAGAAAACTCATAAAAGGTGTGATTTGGACAGACTCGTGAACTTTGGCCTTGGAGCTAAAACAACCCATGATTCTGACTTGCTTCAGAAGATAAATGACCACACTTCAACTAACATGATCACCCTTGATCAATCGACCACTAAAGTGAATTTCAATTTACAAATTTAAGAAGCCAGTGTCAAGTTTTCATTGATATTGAAATTTAAAAACCAAAGAGTATTAATACCTGGAGTGTCAAGCTATTTTGACCCAATACTGCTTGATCCAATGAAATTGGGGATCTACCCCTCTCAAAACCAAGCCTCACCGTGGAAACTTTCATGTTGAGCACTTCGGCAATCTCATCATAGGATGGTGACCGCCTTAATTTGTTACTCAAATCATTGTTAGCTCCTGCAATTTTTGCCACCAGCATCCACCATCTTCTCTACACATATCAAGCTAATCATACATACTAATTACCAGCTTATCTCCTGAAAATCATTCTACTCCACATTAAAGCAATAGGAAACAAATTGACATTTTTGAAAGATGAAAGTTCATCATAGGATCTTAAACTAATTAGAACACTCTGTGAGCAAGATGCCATATCAATCTGCATGAACAATGGCCATGTATGTCAATGCCAATCTTCTAACCTACTGGACAAATACTCGTAAGCCTGTAAGAAAGGATGAGGGGAAAAGGAGTCACATTATAATACACCTGAAGTTGCAAGGACAATGGATCATCATGCTTGTAAGATCTTAAACCATGAAGACTTGAAGCACCAATTTACATTACTAATTTGAAAAACAGAAAGAAAAAAAGGATGTCCTCTTAGAGTGCAACTCAGGCAGGAAGTGAGACTAGGTATTCTAGATCCAACTCTTCTCTAAAATCATAGCAAAAATGAAACATTTGCTTTTAAATGGCAGTATTACACTGTGAAATCATATTTATGAGACTGGAAAGAAATTCCAATGTCTTATTCATTCATCTATTTTTATCTCCATATATTTATGCAGGCATATTAACCTTGCAAGTGGCAAGTTAATGCCACTTCAAGAGTACAATATCCTAATCTGTCTCTAGAGACTCTCAAAGAAAACTTCTCGATGGTTAGAATTTAGATCATCTCCAACTGAATGGAGTGCTTGGAGATTTCCTTGAATACAAATGAGGAATCACTGGTCAAGGAGCAAGAAATTACTAATGTTGGTCCTCACCGGTAATCTAACCATTCTAGTGTTGTTTGATATTGCTGTAAGGATGGCTTCTTTAATCCACCAGTAAACATATGTTGATAGCTTATATCCTCTCTGTGGATCAAATCTCTCTGCCCCTCGAAGGAGGCCAATGCTCCCTTCCTGCTACATAGAAATCTTGTTTATTAGCACACCATTGGAAGGAAATTAAAGTGGACCTACTGGTATTAAGAACCTGAATAAGGTCTTGTAGGCTCAATCCTTTGTCCTGATAACTTGTGGCAATGGAGACAACAAGCCTGCGGTAGCTGCGAATTATCTTTTCTCGTGATTCTCTTCCCTTACACAATACATTATCTACAGTATTCTTTTCCATCCGTAGGGCCTTGGCCAACTGCTTTGATGTTGGATCAAGCTCTTGAACATCTCCAATTCTTCTTCTTGCTGCTTCTATTCTTGCTTCATGCTGTTAATTTCAAGAAATTGGATATTTGAGATGATAAATTTGAAATGAGCAAGAAAAGCTGATAACAAACGGAGAACTGAGAATAAGATTTTCAGCATTAGACATCTCTGCTTTAGGTATCTAAAATTTCAATCAAACCGATAAACTATGGAAGCTCCTTGATATTACTTGGAAGAAGAACCGGCCAAATGAACTATGGTATGCACATATTCAGGTAAAGTAGAAGCAGGCAGCCATTAACCAAGAAGAAGATTATGCAGTAGAATTTGGCAGTCAAGACTAGTTTTAATGTGAACTGATTCGATGAAAGAGCATAAACATATTAAAATAGCCTGATGTTTTTAGTCCATTGCTTTATAGTTTCCAGGGTTCATAGTGACAACAGTACACTTGCTAATTTGTTATCAGCAGTCTCATGTGGTCTCCATCATAATTTCACTACCAACTAAACAAACCGGCCATCAGGCTCCGAGGCCCATCGGTAGCATATGGTAGAATCAGATAGACAGGGTTCATAATTTGATGAAATTGGACGAGTACGGAGAGTTTGATGGCATTTCTTTGGTTGCTCAACTACAGCAGAAAATTCTCTTTCATAATGTGATAATAATCAGATTTTAATTCAATACCTGAATGGATGGTTCAATTCCCTATAGCAAGTTGAACTTAACCTTGAACTGAACAGAGTAGCCATTCATACTCTGCCAAATTACCTTTTGAATACTTGGCGATTGCTTTTGCCCTTCATTGTTGACATATAATTCTAAGAAATACAGCTAAACAATAAAACCTATTGAACCGAGCATTCAATTGTCCAAATACAAAGAACAAAGAAATCACTTTAAACATACCTTGAGACACATGGAAAACTCTGCTTCCTCTTTTGGGCTCAAGTACCCTCTCTTCACAGACTCAAGAATCACTCTCCTGTATTCATGACCAACATCCCTCTCCCCATCATCTACAACCAAAGACTGTGCAAGCCCTTTTCTTCTTTTCCTCCTCTTCCTCCTCCTCGCTTTTAGACCACCATTATCGCTTTCTCCATCAAACAAAACCTCCCCTCCAGTCCAAGAACTCAATGCCACAGCCTCGGTTGCATTTTCAATGTCGAGTTCTGCTTCATTGGAGATTGAAGATACACCAAGCTTAAAGGAGGGAGGAGAAGAGGTTGGTGGTGGTGATTGATGAGAGAGGGGATGTTTGAGAGATGGGATAGCTGAGAATATGGTTGTGGATGATGAGCATATGGTGGTGATGATAGCCATGAAAAAAAAGGGGGGATGTGTGCGTTTGACAAATCATCTGTTTCTTGATAACTTAAAGTAGGACAGAGGTTCTAAACCAAGAATGGGGGGGCTGACAACTTCTCGTAGATATTTGTTTCTTGATATCTTTCAACCATGCTTGTCTTCTTATAAAAGACAATGTACTTCACTCCTTTTCTTTTCTTTAGAAAATTTGAAGATTTTTCTCATGTTTTCTATGGTAAACTAGTTGCAACGGATCTGTTCCAGCTTTCCACAGTCATTTTGGATTTTTTATTAATATGAAAAGTTTCAAGCTGCATTAAATTAAAATTTTGATACAGTCAGTTGTTTTCGTGATTATTTCCAATGATCAATAATATAATATCACTTAAGTTTACATCGTCACGGATTCTGATTTAATATTTTAATAATATATATATATATATTATTTAGAGATATTTATTATTAAAACCATCTCCACTCATATATTACATGCATTAGTATTATTACTTATTAGTTATCGATAATATAGTATATTTGTAAAATTCATACCGGTCCAGCAAGCCGATCATGAACCCAGCCTCCTTGAGAACTGAACCGGTTTGAATTGAAAAGAAAATAAAAGGATTATAAAAAAGAAAAAAACTTTATACTCAAGTAAAGATTATTCCACTCAAAACCTGACTGACTTAGTGAGTTTTTTATTTAAAAAAATATTAAAATGGTGTTGCTTTGACATCATCAGCTGAAGTCAACTCTCTTATCTTGTTTTCTTCTACTGCATCGGGTTTTACAACTGAAAGTATTTGTGATTACTTTAAAAATATATATTATTATTTCAAAAAGTGGTTTGCAAATTTTAAAACATATAAAAAAATATTTTTTTATTTTTTAAAATCAATGCATTAAAAAAATTCAAAAAATATAAAAATTTAATTTTTAACAAAAAAAATTAATTTATTTTGAAAATACAATTTAGTACACATTTCCAAACAGGCTATTAATATATTAAATCAAGGAAAGTGGGTTCCCGTGCATTTCAATATCTTTGCATTCTATGCTATCCGAGATAAAATCGATGTTCAAATGTTACTGTTGATATATTTCGTTCTTGGGATCAATTAGAATTCGACTGAATATGCAGTTGCTAATCGAACATTCAAAGAAACAAATTAAACGCTCGAGATAGAAATAAAAAGAGATTGCTAATTAGCATTCTCATCAGTGCAGCTACAGCATTCAAGAAATCCTGCCACAGAAAACGGGGAAAACAGTGGCATAAATGCTTAACCTTGTGCCTCGGTAAGAACTAGCAATTTGAAATGCCCTGCGAGAGCCAAAAGCTGATGATAATTAAATATAAAGATATTGACCATCATTGTCATAAAAGATTTCCCGAGTCTGCAGAGGAAGACCATGCAACATGTATGTCAATTTCATCCAAGGCAACAATCAAGGTCACCTCTCTTCATCCTATCTCACCTAACATCTTTACTGAACGCTGGCAAGCTCGGAAAGAGATACTTGACATCATTTACAGGAGTTAGTTGCATTCAAACATTCGACGGAAGCTTGTATTCGAGCATCTCCCTTGTATTTAACCGAATGGAAGGTCCCATTGATGAGCATATATGCGCGCTTTTCCAGTACACTCCCTTTGCACCTGATGGCTTGTTTGCTTCTGCTGATTTCTGCACATTAAGATGGCATGTGATTAATGATATGAAAACCATCATGGCATCCGCGAAGCCCAAAAGAATAAGGAAATGCACATGTATAAGGTGAAAGGAGGGTCAATTTTGGAACATACTACAGCAGCTAGCAAGTTTACAAGGAGGTCTTCCTCTGAGAAATCAGCTTTCCCGAAAGGTATGTGAACAATCCCAGTTTTATCTGCTCTGTACTCAACTTTCCCCTTTTTGAATTCAGCTATTGCCTGAAATGCATTTGATCAATCCATTTCATTAAGCAAGATAATAATTGGTAGCGGCCACATCATAGGTTCTACTAAAAATCTGTATAATGAAATACAATCACTCAATGCATTAAGTTCTACTCTTTGTCTGTTGGTGCATGCTTAACACTCACAATGGTGATAAGAGTGCAACTATATTTTTGCAGTATTTGGTAAGTTTATATATGTCCAATTACAGGCTAAATGTAGAATGACTGAGTAAACTCTACTGTATCATTTCTGATTTGTTTCGATTATTCCTTTTGCATCTCATGAGATGCATGCTTTCACAAGAACTTGTATCCAATGGAATGTGTAGGAGGATGCTACGAAAAACCACTTGAAGGCTGAGAAAATGATAAATCCAACTCAGAGGGTGGGGTAGGGGGTTGGGGACGAGGCCATTACCTGAGGTATGTCAGTTGTAACAGTACCAGCTTTTGGGTTTGGCATGAGTCCTCGTGGTCCTAGAATCTTACCTAAGCTGGCAACCTGATGCAAGGAACAAAGTGATACAAGTATAAGACAGTATTATTTGTCTGATCGGTCAAAGTGTACAGCGCAGAACCATAATCACATCATAAATTGAAACAGTTCCAAGTGGGAGTGTCCTTTTTACATAACTTAGGAGCAACAACCATGATGCATTTTCTAAGCTTAAATCCCCAAACTAACTGTAGTCCATACAACCAAAAAAGACATTTTTCTTGAATATAGCAGAATCAATTGTTGATAAAGAGGTATGATAATAAAATCAAATCCAACTGTAAATTCAAAGCTGTCAATGACAACTGACCAGCATGACTTCCACTTGCTAGCACGTTGTTAGTGATGCTATAAGTGCATCCAAAAATTTTGTAGAGAGAAAACTGTTACATCCTTCATTAAACAACACATTTTACTCCAAAACCATACATTAAAAGGCTGCATAATATAACATATAACTTAATATCATTTTGACGACCCAAGTGACAAACAAATACTTCCCTTTCTATTTTTTTTGTCATTTTGTTGGGGGGGATGGGGTTGGAGAAGAATATGCTTGAAAGCATCTCAAAACAAAGATTTGAATATAGGAAGAAGATAAAATAGTTAGATTTTCAAATTTACTGGTCCCTCAAACATATTTACACAGGATTGAGGAATTGTATCTTACAGATATTATGAATTCAGTGCACATGCATGGATGCCATTAAAATATTAAACAATGAAAAGATAGCAAAGCAACACCTTAGGCATCATATCCGGAGATGCAATTAATTTATCAAACTGCATAAATCCTCCCTTTATTTGTTGTATCAGGTCCTCACCACCAACCAAATCTGCTCCTGCATTTTTTGCTTCATCGAACTTTTCACCTGCAAATCTCTGCCTCACATTATGATTATTTCAAGGGGAAGGGGAGGGGGGTTATGACTGGTACAAAGGATCTAAAAATATTAATTTCACAGTAAATAACAACATAAAATTGATAATCATCTGGACTTACTCTGGATGAACATACAAGACAGAAAAATGAGCTAGTTTTTGGTGTGATGTGAAAGAAGAAAATTAACTCTTGTTTTCCAGAGGAGATAGACAGAGAGAGAGACATGGCATGTTCAAGGGACAGATGGTATAACAATTAACTAAAAGCAGAACCCTGAAATAATTAACAGTCAGAACAATAGCTGGACATCTGAAACTCCATATTACAATTTCCAGAAATTCAGGATGCTCTAAACTTTCACTGCATGGAAGATATTGTAAAAGCTCAAACTTTCTCTCCTCTCTTCAAAGACCACACCCCCAGCAATCACCCCTCAACTCTCTTTCTTCCATGGACTCAAATAACAAAAGTAAAAACACCCTCTTCGACAGGAGTTTGAAGAATCTAAGTTAAATAGACCTGAGAGAAGCAATCTTGCCAGCCATGGAAATCTACTGAATAGGCAGGATTCAAGTTTTAATAGCATGCGGCACATTTACTAGTTAAGAACCACCGCAACTTAGAGTAGGAAAGTCTACAATCAATACCAAACAAAACCACCAAATAAGCGAAGAAGCATCCCTGGGGAAGACTTCTTGCCAGATGAGTGTTTCTTCTTTCTTCAGATTTATTATCAAGACAGCATCCCTGGCCAGATGAGTGTTTCTTCTTTCTTCAGATCATGAAACCGTCAAGTATGAAAGAAAAAATTCTAGAAAAGGGAACAACCTCTCCAAACACCAACTACCGCGCAAACCATTCAACAAAATTCCCAGTGAAGCAAAACCTCCACTGGAACCTCCAGAAACCACCTTTTCCCAACAACTATATGCCCATGTCAATAAACACCTAAACCCAAATTTTTATATGGAAGACTACACAACAAGAAAAACTTCTCAAAAGTTAATCAACTTAATATTTCACATAAAATTGCACTTGACTTTGATATTTCACATAAATTGGCACTATAGCGGCACAACCACATCCATCACCCAATTACCTCGAAAAGAAGAAAGAAAGAAAACAGAACAGGAACCCAGCACAACCATTCAATCATTTCCCTAATCAGACCTAACACCCCTTCTTATCTTCAAGTTTGCACCTGGGAGGAATAACTATAACTCAAATATCAAACATGTTTTGGGACAGCATACTTTCTTTGAACACTGGCATATATTTGAATCCTATAGATACAGCTACCAATTTTCATATAACAACAGTCCAGTTGTGCATCACAATCCACAGGCTTTGTATTTAAACTCTTTAGTCCAGGCATGCATTAAAATTGTTATGGCTCTTTCAACCAATGACCAATAAATAATTGGAACAACTTTCAGCCTATAATGAACTCCAATGGGATAATAAAATAATACAACAAAAATGTCGTTGCAAGGTTGACCCTCATTTATGTCTGTCTGTATCTATCATCCCTGGAGCTATTGATCCAGATTGTCTTCTGTAAGATACCACCAATCCACAAACTGATTTATTTATTTTTTAGTTGCACAAAGTCTCTCCTCAATGTTCATGTTTTCCACAAATTAGAAGATAAAGAACTGAATCTGATTAACAATAACAGCTTGTTTTCTAAATACACAAACTCATATTTGGTCAAGTCTGAAAATTAAATAGAGCAATTACCTTGGGTGAGCACTGCAACTTTAACAGTTTGTCCTGTTCCCTTGGGCAAATTTACCTACGCAGAGAGTGA